AAAAAACAAACAAACAAACAAACATGAAAGATGATTCTAGCTTATATTCTTGCGTTAAGCGAGAAAATAATTAGGCGCTCTTCCAGTGTTGATCAATCGGTGGACATTTCAATCCGGCGATGGTCAGTCTCCGGCGGCAATCATAAACCGCAATATCTGGTGTGATAATATGAGCCATACCATAAAATAAAAGAAATCTAACGGTCGGTAGTTTCCCCTAGGGTGGGCGCCCGGGACGGTCCGGGATTTGACTTGTTCCTTTACCGATCCCACTTTTATGAACTTGAATACATGATATGACACATAATAATAGCTCGGTGAACCGGAAGGGACTTTTGGGTTTAGCAAGCCAGAAATGGCGGCGAGCAGAGGCCCATGATAGACCGAACAAGTGGGGCGACTGCGAGCAGAGACCCATAAAAAACCGAGCAGGTAGGATGGTGGCGAGCAGAGGCACACGAAAGACCGAGCAGGTAGGCTAGCTGCGAGCAAAGGCCCATAAAAGACCGAGCAGGTAGGATAGTGGCAAGCAGAGGCCATGATAGACTTACCAGGTGGGGCAGCTCCGAGCAAAGGCCAATGATAGACCGAGCAGGTAGGGCAGCTGCGAGCAAAGGCCCATAAAGACCGAGCATGTGGGGAAGTTGCGAGCAGAAGCCCACAGAAGACCGAGCAAGAGGACGATTATGAGCAGCAACTCATGAAGGACACATGGAGTGTCAGGATTAAAATGAGATGAATGATCGGACGAATGAAGAGTAAAGCGTACAGGAAAAGCTTACAATTTTATATTAAAAGGTAAATTCGGTAAGATGGTTCACTCTCTACAACCCTAATAATACTTGCAATTACATACAGTTTTCTTCTATCCCTTACTAACTTGAGCGTACTATCGGGAACACCTCCTGGCGTCTTTGCAGGTCTTTAGGAGCTCACACGGTGGAGGATCGAAGGAGAGCCGGTTCGAGGTGCAGGAGCACATCAATTTGCGTCGTGTAGTGGTGTAACTCTGTTACTCTACTATTGTGAACAAAGTTAAGATGGAGGGGATGATCGGAGAAGAAGAGAGGTTACAGAGGAGTTTGGATGCCAGTTTGTAGGAAGCTTGGGTGGCGAGACGTCCCAGGGCGGAGGGAGACCGGTTGCGGTAGGGGACAGCTAGATGGTTACTCCTCCGGTGAACTTGAAGGGGGTGAACCAGATTCTGTCATCAGAGCAAGATCGGGGGATGGTGAGCCACGAGATAGGTCCGACGGTGGTTGTGCAGACGCCTGGTTGAGGTTTGCCACTAGGAGGAGGTGATTTAGAGATGCGAGTGACTAGAACGGAGTTGATCGCCTCATTGCGGGGGCAGTTTATAGGGCGTTAGAGGCGCGAGCTCAGGTGGCGGTGGAGAGGCATGTTGTGGTGGTGGAGAGACCAACTGCGGTGATAGAGAGGCCTTCTTTGGTAAGAGATCAACTAAAGCCGGTGGTGGGTCAGTTATGAGCAGGAGCGTCGGTTGGTTTGGTGGCATCTACGTATTGAGAAATTGTTTAGTTACGATTTCTCTTCTGCGACCGATCGCTTCCCGCTTAATGTGCAGAGTCTCATAGTTTAATGTATATGGAATTATGAAGTCGCAATGGCCTGGGTTGTTTCTGGTCTTGGGACGGAGCAACATATTCCGGTGATGTCTAGGCCAGTAGGAGGTGGTAGCCACCGGAGGGATGAGCAGGATGAGAGGTTAGTGATGTCTCCGATGGTCCACAGGCCATCCATAGACGTGATGATGGAGCAGATGGCGAACCAGATCAGAGAGCTTCAAGCTAGGGTGGTGGGTAGGCGGCAGCCAGGATGCAGGGTCACCTTTTTACAGATGATGTTTTGGGTGCCAAATTACCTCAGAACTTCAGGGAGCCTAGCATAGACTACGATGGGTCCTCAGATCCAGCCAGGCATTTGAGGAGCTTTGAGAATGTGGCGGTGTTACATCGATACAGTGATGGGGTTTGTTGCAGGGCCTTTTTGACCACCTAGAAGGGCTCTGCTCAAGATTGGTTTCACCAGCTACCAGCGGGGTCAGTCTATAGCTTCAATGCGTTTAAGTCACTATTTATCAATCAATTTTTCAGCGCGAGAAAGCATGAAAAGATATATCTATCACTGATGAAGATGCAACAACGCGAGAATGAGTCCCTCAGGGAGTATGTTTCTAGGTTAACGCGGGTGTGTGTTGAGGTTCCTACAACAACGGAGGAGATCAAAGCAAGAGGGCTCACGTGAAGGTTGAAGGCAGGTCATTGCAGGAATTCATTAGCCAAGAAGCCTGTTAGGTCTTATGACGAGCTGCTGGAGAGGTGTTTCAAGTATATGAACATGGAGGAGACGGAGGCGGACTTTCTGGCACACGATCGCTCCATTGGAAGAAGTAGGATGAGAAACACAGGCCAAATGAGAGAAAGTCAGGAGGAAGGGAGCGCAGGGGTGATGATAGGGGGCGTATGGGGTTCAGATACGAGCATTACGCACCGTTGACGTCACCAAGAGGGCAGGTGTTTGAAATGTTGGAGAAACGCGGAGAGACTAAGATGTTGGGGGAAGCCTCAGCCCCTACTTAAGAAGGTTGGGAAGGCTCCGGTGAAAGAGGACGCTTATTGTAGGTATCATCGCGACTATGGGCACTAGACGAACAACTGTAAGGAGGTGAAGGATGAGATTGAGAGGCTTATAAAGGTTGGACACTTGAAAGAGTTCGTTATGCAGGATAGGGAGAAGAGGGATGATACAAAAGGGGGAGAGAAGAATAAGAGGCAAGAGGAGCAAGGGGAAAGGGCTCCAAAAAGAGGCGTGATCCATATGATAGCTGAAGGGCCGAAGGATGGTGACTCCAATGGAGCTAGGCGAGCTAACTTGAGGGTCGGCTGGGAGAGTGTAGCGGAGGTCCAGATTGCCCATACCACACTGGAGTTGAAGTTTGGTGTAGGGGATTCTCAAGGAGTGTTGGTGCCCCATAATGATGCTCTAGTGGTGACAACAGAAATTGCAGGCTATGATGTGGAGATGATTCTGGTGGATACTGGCAGCTCTGCAGATATCATGTTCTATGAGTGCTTTCGGCAGATGGACTTAGGTGTGAAGATCACCCCAATCAAGACATCGTTGTTTGGCTTCAGTGGGGCGGAGGTGGTGTCGCTTGGGGAGGTGCAATTGACGATGGCATTGGGATCTCCCTAACAAGGGAGTCCAAACAACACGCTTTGGAGTAAGGTAATTCCTATTTGCTTACTTGTTAGTGTTTTAGCAGGCCGAGATAGAGCATTAGGAATGTGGTATTCTCTTGGTCCGGTCCCGTGCTTCTCGTGATATTTTCGTCATGCATCGGGTCGCGCTATTGTCATGACTGGGGCCATATGCTCAAGGACTATGCCAAGAAGACCGCAGGCAAGAATCTAAGGAAGGTGAAGATGGTTCGATTTATGGTGGTTAAGGCAGAGTCAGCTTATAAGGTCATCATGGGGCGGCCTAACTTGAATTCTCCAGGCAGCAGTGTCTACATACTGTATGAAAATGAAGTTCTCAATGGGAGAGCTGGTGGGCGAAGTCACTTGGGATCAGCGATTGGCTAGGACCTGTTATCAAACGGTGTTGAAGGCAGGTCATAAGAGGAAGTGTAGGGAGGAGAGCTCGGGCAAAGTCAAGAAGGAGAGCTCGAGCAAAGGGAAGGAGGCCAGAACTGAGATGGTTCCACAGGATGAGCTAATGGAGATTTCCTTGGTGGAAGGAGAGCAGGAGAAAGTGACAAGGGTAGGAAACGAGTTGAGAGAGCACATCAAGATGTAGTTGGTGGCGTTGCTCAGGGATTACGTGGATATCTTCACATTCGCACCGGAGGCGTATGTAGACATCGATTCTTGGATGGCCGAGCACAAGCTGAAGATTGATGCTAGGATGAGGCCCGTCAAGCAGAAGAGGAGACATTTTGGAGCAGAGTTAGATGTCGTTATTGAGAAAGAAGTAGATAAGCTGCTGCATGCCAGTCACATTAATCTATCTAGTTCCCGGAATGGCTCTCAAACCAAGTCATGGTGAAGAAGGTGGAGAATAAGTGGCGTATGTGCATAGACTTCAGGGACCTTATCAAAGCATGTCCAAAGGACCATTATCCTTTACCGCGTATCGATCAGTTTGTGGACTCAACGGCGGGCTGTGAGTTACTGAGCATGATGGACGCCTCGCAGGGATACCATCAATACCATTGGCGGTGGAGGACCAGAAGCGGGTGAGTTTTGTTACATGTAAAGGGACTTATTTCTATGTTGTTATGCCCTTTGGCTTGCGGAATGCAGGAGCAACGTACCAGAGGTTGGTGGATAAGATGTTTGAGGGGCAGTTTGGGAGGAATATGGAGATTTATGTGGATGACATGTTGGTGAAAAGCCGGAGAGCAGATGATCATGTGGGGGACTTGAAGGAGAACTTTGAGACAT